CAGCGCAAACACGAGCGAATTATTCGAAATATCTATGCGCGGTGAAACAGTGCGCTGAATAGCGAAATGCCGCTTGCAAATTTCATCATCGACTTATCTTCGGCAGTTTTTTCAAAGTACGGACGGTTTGTTCGGAATTATTTAAAACTTCCAGTCGCACAAATGTGAATAAAATCACGCGATACTGACACATTGACTTTACGCTCGATCGGAAAGTTCGAGATTGCGTCTTGCGGTCTTGAGCCTTGATTTAAATGAAGAACGTGCGACGCGTTACGGAAGATTATAAACCGTTTGATGGAAATTAGCGCTATTATCTCGCAGGCGCACTTAATCCTCTAATTAAAACGCGTCCTTGTGCCGTTTTTTTTCGAACAATTAATTAATCGAGCGTGCTGGATCAGCCGCTGATAAAAACAAGAGCCTATTTGTGGGATGAAGAAATAATGTGGTAATATGGCGCTAATGCGAAGATTAGAATGAACTTTTCAGCTCATAATCTTAATTGGCTGTCCGCGATTACGAGTGCATCGTCTGTCCCCCAATCATTCTCCTTTTGCATTATGCGCAATATCTCCAAGACGTAATAATTAATAAAACAATTACATTAACTAATAACATATTAATTTTTTCAGTTTATATCGCAAATTTCAAATTTTAATAAACATCAATTATATCAGATTGTGCCATATAAAATTGCTGTTTGCAGTTTAAAATTAAAACGTAGCTTGCTTATTGAAGAAACTGAAGAACATAACACCTTGATAAATTATTAATAGCACAACTGAAAATATATTGAGTCGATCCAAAAGTTCCTTAGATTTTTCGATAAAGATAAAAGACAAAAATCCAAAGGAACTTTCTGATCAACCCAATATATTTTCAGTTATGCTATAAATAATTTATCAAGGTATTATGTTCTTGATTGATCAGAAAGTTCTTTCGGATTTTTCAATAAAAATAAAAAGCAAAAATCCGAAGCAACATTCTGATTAATTCAATACTTTGTATCAACTTTGTTAATGCAGTCAATTGTCAACTGATCAAATAATGACGATTTCATGTCATACAATCTAATGCAATCTAATAGAAACACATAAATACATTCAACGTTATTTTGTATCGGAATGTTGTAACATCATGATTAATATCTCCTTGTCCGTAATTAAATGTTAAGGATATCGTTCGCGGTTAATGTGCGTGAAATGAATCAACGTGCCTCCGCGGCGTAATGACTACGAATAATCATAGGGCGAAGATCATCGAGCGTGATTCCTAAACCGATGATCATCATCGACCTATAGCTATCCTATTAGATCATTATGTTACATTATTGTGCGCACGTTGCGTACGAAATAAGTTCTTATAGAAAGTGCGTACAAAGAAATGCGCGCGGTTATTGCGTACAGGATATACAAACCGACGGTATAGAATGACGTACAGGGGGGAAGTTGCAGGACACGTTGGTCAACAGTTTCAGATATTCATGACGATCTTACGCTCGCGACAGTGACGTCTAGTTACGAATACAAGCAGAATCCTTCTCTTTGCGGCGTAATGCATCGCAATTACGAATCGTTCCTTATCATCGAGTCGAACAGTGAAACATGCGTAAGCAAAAAAATGTAAGAAAAATACAGAATGTAAATTTAATTAGAAATACAATTGAATTATTTAACAATAACAAGAATATAATTTAATTATTTTGTAACCGGAAGTCACTTAGAACCCCGCGAGGCGAGGATTAAAATAAATAAATAATAATTATAAGATGAATTAATTTTCTTTCGAGCAGTTGTCTTTGAAAAATAAAATTTTTCTTATGGCATACGCGATGTGCGTAAAAGATATCAATAAAAATAGTCTTTCTCTTATTTCCTGCATGATGTAATGTATTACATCACGAGTAGCATCCACGTTCCGGTAGTTAGTGGTGAATTGTACATCTAATCTAATTGTAACGATCCACTGTCGAGGCAGATCTTCTTCTTATGATAATACATATAGCGTTTCAGTTAAGTAAGTCGGAGAAAGTATCCCCTGATAATTATATCCCGACTCGCGCTTAGTGAGTGAAAAATGTATCCGGTGCGAGGGCAATGTTTTCGTGGGAAATTGCATCGCGGATTGCTTGCGCAGCTCACAATTAACAGTAGAAGTGCAGTATTTCATTAAACCAGATAACGTAGATTGTAATACGAGATCGCAATTTGTGCGCCTGAAAAACTACCCACCTTGCGCGCGGCTCTAGCCGCCTCCTGTTTGCAATTTGCACTGAAATTCATATTGATATCAATATACAGGTGATTGTTGTTGAGGAGAAGCGCGGGCGGCTCCATCGGCGGTGGGTTGGCTTCCTTTTTGTGCCTCAATCGCCGTTCGGTTCTCTCTTGCCTCGTGCGCAGCACGAGCACCACATTTCGGTCCAGCATATTTAATTTTCTCGATCAAGAATCTCGAAATTCGACAGTCTTAGACCTTTTCGTGATACGCGAGATGTCCGATCGAACTTTCGACAGCACTCCACTACGAATCTAACACTGCGGAGTTAGTTAACTATTTACCATAGTACATTTATCACGAGACCGTATCAAGACTCGAGACAGTATAAAAAATAAAGTATTAGCTCGCAAAAAACGTCCTTTTTCCTACGCTATCGCGACACATATCGATGTCGCGGTGCTCTAATTTTAAATCGCAACCTACTTTAAGACGTCACGCTCTACGATCCCTGTTTCTCGTTTTTCCACGCAGCCGCCGAGACTTTCTCGAATTTTCCGACAATGCAACTGTTCGCGCGGAGGGATTCGCGAAGATCGGCCGTAAAGGAATGATAGTGACGGACAGTGTGCGCCGAACGAGTGCAAAGTCCCGGCATTTATTGGTTCGGATTAGCCCGAACGTTATCGTCTACCATGTTATCGGAGCGAGCGAGTGTACAAAAAACGTTAGGCGCCTTATAGGCAGATCGTTTTTCGATGCGCGTACGTAAGTGGAATACGAGGGAGAAGGCGCTTATGCGAGAAGTACAACGAGGGGGAAACGCAACGACGGATGCTGCGCACGCGGCTGGACCATGACTCGCGGTGTCAGTGACCTCGAAAAGCTAGTCGACGCGAATTTTTCTATTAGTTCAAAAAACGGTATATTGCGCTTTAAGGAAGGAAATGCTCTAACAACTATTTCCAGCGTCGATTAACGTGAGACGACGATTAAAACTTGTCGACAAGATTGCCATCGTGAATAAAGTATCGTCATCAAAAGAGAAAAGAATACAAAAATCTTTTTTCTCCTTCAATGACGATCTTTTATACTTCATGTTAGCGATTCTGACGAAGTTCAACTGTCGATTGAAGTCAATCGAAATTGTCACCCTAAGAGAAAGGAAGGCTGGCATCTCGCGCGTTATCGATTGCCGCATCGGCCAGGTGATGGACCACGTTCAGCCTAGAGTAAGAGAATCCGGTTGAGGCGCGAAGTCGAAAATGATAGGCGCCGTTATCACTGGCGCCGGCTAGTTTATCGCGTACAGATTGCACGGAGTTTCATCACGCGCGCGTTCTACCAAGAATATCGAAATTGCGTCAGTAGGATTGTTTTCGTGTGTTTTCTGCCCCACGTTTCAGAGGCAGAAGGAAAGAAGTGCAGAAGAGGCGATCATGCGACGCGAGAATAACAACGTGAATGTGTGCGCTTGAACCTGTTTGTATGAGACGCGGAAAGCGAGCGAGCCTGGGATACGCCCGTGTTCCACGGTTTTATCGCTGCTACACTTTCTCTGTGTAAGCCCTCGTAATCGAGTTACACGGATTCTATGTGCGATTACACGCCGATTGTGGTCATGCGATAGCTTTTTTCTTTCCAAGTTAAAGGGAAATATATCAAAGCACAAAGTAATAATGCAAACACGTCGCGATTTAACATATCGCGCGTGCATAAACAACGATTTAAGTAAATATGTATTATTATTGCAGCAAAGTGCAACAGAATTAATTTATGATACATTTCGATAATCACTATCAATTATGCGTGCGACCAGAGATGAACCAGATCGATATCAAAGCGATATAAATATGGAAACGCGATTCGGAGAAAGGGAGCGAAACGATGTCAAGCGGTATCTACTCGAAATAGATGGAAAGTCGTACGTTACGTTACATCAAACATAATTAGAAGCAAAATAATCTCCGGTCATTTAGACGAGTACAAATGAATGTAACACGATAACCGGGAATAAGAACGAGATAAACATTATACAATATTTCACGCGTTTTCTTGGCTGACGCCGATGTTTTGATTGAGAGAATCATAGCTTCTTGCCCGCAGAAATAATCCAACAAATATTAACTGTAATACAATTCTACACACAATTTTGATTATTTAATTAAAAGAAAATATTGTTTTAGTTCGCAAATATAGAAAAAAATCGAAAGAAACAAAAAATTGATTTATATTTATTATTTTGAAAAAAAAATTTAAGCGTCAAAGTAATTTGTTCAATCGGTTAATTCTATTTAAATCTATAGTTATATTCAAGAAGATTACATGCAAGTGATAGCTAAAATTAAAGAATTTAATCAACAAAATGATGAAACTGTTGACCACTGTGACACTTTTAATCTTTGTTACCGTCGTTGGGTATAAATACGACAATAATGTCCACCGAAAGAACAAACTACATTTGAGTGATGCAAGTGTAATGGAATGTAACGGTATGCTACTTCTTATCGAAATTCTTATACAAATCTGGTTTATACAGCAAAATCTTACAAATTATAATTTTTCCACTTTTGTCTCCACGGCGCAAGCCAGATAAATATTAATACGAGTATATTTTGAACGCAAAAGCTTATTTTTCTCAATGCACGTAGTTAGCATATTTATGAGATTCAATAATGCCGCGATATTCGAATAAATTAAAATAGTAACTCATTCTGTTTAGATGACATTCGAGTTATAACCGGATTTATCTTAAAGAGAACTTTCATCCCGACATCTTGTTAATTTCGAGAATCAGCGTGACCTTTTTCGTTATTTAACGTGTATATCATCTCGCACCGATAATAATATAGATAAAGATCGTCGACGCACGCTCTGTCCGGCTAATTGCTCGATAAAAACATATAAATTCGTATATATTCGATAAAAATTCGTTTTACGAAAAGAAGACAGTATTATGAAAGAATGACATAACAATCAGAAATAATGACTCGATAAAATGAGAGAATGCAAAGAAAAAAGCATTCAAAAAATAATCAGAAAGCCAATAATTTCTGCCGCAATAAAGAGTAATCTATCCGTTTCAAAAGTTTCGCAAGAGAGTGAATTCGGAGAAGAGAAAAAGCGAGAATTTTTTGTTTCAATAAAAGCCACGATAACAAAATTTTTGACTAAATGTTATATTATTTACACTCGCACGATAATTGCACTAGTTGCCAAACGTGTTTATTTGCCGGATTATCGATGGATTAAAATAAGCGTTCTATTTTTAAAAACGGCAAATAAAATAATTATTTATGCAGATATCTATAAATAAAAACAAATAAAAATCCAATGCATTCCAATGCATCCTATTTAAAAACAAAATTAAATTTAAACGACGCTTTTGTTAGATTTATCAAGCGCTCGTATGTGTAAAAGAAATGTATTTTATATAGATAAAACAAGGCAAATTGTGTTGGCAGTTATTTAACCAATTTTTCGGCAATTTAAAAAATAATTAGTATATCCAAACATTTTTATCGATAAAGAAATCTCGATATCAAGATTACGTATGAATCACGAGTTCATGAGACAACGATACGCTATGTGAATACAGCAGCGGTTTGTATTCGATACTACAGAAATGATAACGATTAGCAATTATATCGGTAAAATATTTGCGAAGCTTATTTTTTTAACGGATATCTCAATGATTCATTCAAATCGTTCCGCGCAGCTTTTAATTGGAATTGAAACCTCGCACGAGAAAATGCAATTGTTGTGTGATCAGTTACATTTGAATTAATAAAAATATATGGACTTATATCATTATATTGAATTGATCGTAAAACTGCAGCAAATAATAATTCAATATTTCTGTGTTTTTAAAACTTTAAGAGTAGAGGTCGCGAGTCTGAAGACATTCACCAAAGACGTCCCAGTTGCACTGTGTATTTCACAGTTCGTAGAAAATATCCTGCATTTTACATGAGCAGTTTTACGACCCTTGCATTTCACAGACACGTGGTCACCTTTGCCGATACTTGAAGCGGTTTCTCCACGTGTTTTATTTCAGCTGCTACAGCCAATACTACAGTGTGCAGAATTAAAGAAAAATTCTACATTTAGTTAAAGATTAATTTAGAAAAGAGAGATTAAATAGAGAGACTCAAAATGATAATTAAATTCGTCTCATAAACAAAACAGATAAAATTATTTTATTCAATTGATGAGTAAGATTAGCAATTTCGTCATCAGAAATCTCTTTATCGCATTTGCGAAACAATGCATCGACAGTTTTGTTTGAAGGATGAGGGTCTTAATATTTTGTATGTGTTAACCGCTGGACTGCGTGATGCAGTCTTTTTACGATGACATTATTTTGAGATATAATTCGATCGAATACTGCGTTGAAATAACCACAAATCTGATGTAATATAGGTCGCGTTGTGAAACGAAACTCGATCGTCCGTAGTGGTAAAGTTTAATTCGAGATAGGATAACGTACGGCGATAGGATAACGTACGACGATAGGATAACGAGGAGACACCGATTACAGAGTTTAGGTTTGAGACTATAGTTATTTAACAAAATTACTTTATCGAAAAAATTTATCAAGTATTTTAACGTTTACAAAAAAAATATTAACTAAACTCTATTATCCACACAGCATGCATATCCGGGGGATGTTCCGAAGATCTCAAAGATATCTTCGGCATGTCTTTTGGACGTCTTTTGGATATGTGTGCCGTGTGGATAGCTAAACTCTAAATTAAGATCCAGTTAAAAATTATATTTAGAACTTATATTTTTCACATATATATTTATAATAAAAATTTGTTTTGTATTTCTATATTGTTTTTTTTTTCGATATTACATAATACTGTTTTATTGATGAAGATAGAGAAAGGATCAATGCAATTGTTAGCACGTGTCTTTGTCCAATCAAAAGATGCTCGTGAACATTAGATCTTATTTCTGGCACATTTAGAAAAAGAAATAACTGCACTCTTGTATTACAACCTCAATGATTTGGTAGCAATCTCCAGTAGATTAGATAAACCGAACTTCTACGGAGATTATCGGAGCAACGTATTGCTACGATAAATTTTCCCGCGATAATCGCGGATGAAAGCAAGCTTTTCATTACATTTTTTAAAAAGACAGATAATTCATGATCTCAAGAATCAAAGTCGCGAGATAACAAGCGATATTGAATACGATAGAATTTTCCTACTACTTCTATTGCCGAGTAAGACATTGTAATTGTTCATACACAATTGTGTGTTTTATTAATCAAAATTTTCATAAAATAGAAATTATTTTTGAAGGAAAGAAAAAAGACGTTTAAATTATTGTCGCGTGGTTTCAGACAAAAAGACTGTGATGTTCTTTTTAGTATAAATTTTGCACAAAAATGTATGCTTATTCTCGCAATATTTGCGCATTTTGTTGAAAAAAAATATTGTAACCTTTTTGTGTCCATGATAGTATATATACATATTCCTATCAAAAACATTGATACATCGTCGAGATAATATCTTTTAAACTTTATCATTTAATTCTATGCATTCGGTGAAACAATAGATAAAAATGTAATACATACGAACAATAACATGCCGATTAAATGGCCGGCCTACGTGAATATCTTTGAGAATTTAAAACATAAATCCAGGACAATTTTTTCCAAATTGCTTGAAATAGCTATTTGTTTTCATACATCACGAATATAATATAATACGACATAATATAACAAGGAAAATATAAAATTTTAATTTAGAAAACCATCAGTTGTCTCGTTTCGCAATTTTCTCTCTCGTTAACATCGTTTCTAACGAAAACAGACTCGTTTAAATAATAAAACAATTTAAATAAAAATTATTTAACACGCGATCTCTGTCAAATATTTGTGCGCTATCGCACGCTCCGATTTACGAGCAAAAATATGTTAAGTAATCAGAAAGGAATTTTTTTAAATAGATATGTCTGGGAACAAAAAAGAAATCTTATTTCCGATATCACGTGACGTGCTTTCCATGTGCAAAACGAGCAATTTGCAAACCGGCTTGTGCCATCTTTCAAAATCATTCTGCGCGCCAAGCAGAAGCACACGCCGGTATACACACGACGTTTCGCGATGCAAAATTGAAAAGAAAAGAATCAATAATGAAGCGACACTCACCATTTGATGAACGGAACTATTCTGTCGATTTCCACGGTACTCTTGCAGCTGCAGGGACTCGTATCGTTGCTTTTTCTTTGGATACGAATGAGCACGTCTTACAACCGATATCACTACAGCTGGGCCCATCCGGCCATCTTGCCTTATATCAAAACGTGTACTACAGTGCGCTGGCATACTCTGCTATTCGCTCCCCCCACGATTCTCGTCAATTGCGTAATGTTTTGTCTCTCCTCCTCCCTCTTACAGACTCAACACTCTTTTTCTCCACTTTTATCTAACGAGTCGCGACTCACCGCGGAAAACTTATCGATAGGTACGAATTAGATTGAAGTTCAAATAGTACCCGCGAGGGACGCCACTTTGTGGAGAGATAAATTCAATTATACAAGCAATAGTTAACAGTATAATTAAAACATTGAGTAATCCATTTCAAAGCAATAATTTTAACACTCGACGTACATCTAAAGAAAAATTAACGAAATGTATTAATAATTTACAGTGAAACAGAGAATCATTCATTACATCTGAAAAAGAAAACGTAAATTATACAACACACAAGATAAAAAATAAACATAATCAAAGATTATGCAAAATCAATAATTAGATACATATAGCATAGTAAATTTAAATTATCTTAATTTTAGTTTTAGTCTATCGATTAGTAGGGTTTCATGCAGAGTGATCTCTTAAAAGCTGTTTACATGACATAACGTATATGTTATATTGCTCACTACTACCTTTCTCAGTGTTCGTTGACTTTTCAACGTGTGTAACATCGCGGAGAGATTTATGTTTAACATTCACAATTCAAAGCAAAGTTAGATGTATTATTCTTACAAAATTGCTCAACGTTACAAGTTCTTGTTCTTTCATTAATATATGAATTTAATATAAAGTGGTGAGTGATTATAAAAATAAAATATTTCTCTTCGAAAGTATTGGAAAATGTGCGTACAAATCACGAAAAATATAGCTCATATTCACGAAACCACATGTTTCAAAATTATTGATATTTTTTAAAAATGTGTTTTTTTCCTTTTTACACTACATAACCAAATACACAACAATTAATGATTCGCTATATTTGCTGAAATATTTAACAGTTATTATAAATTGATTACCAATGTAATATTTCTATAATCTGTAATAATTTTCATAATTATTAGTTATATCTTCTATTTTCAGACGACTTAAAATAATATTTCGCGTAGTCTAGGCACATACTTAAAAAAGGTAAACTACAAAATAATTTCAAATCTATCAGTTTTTGTTGCTAAAAAAAATATAAATGTTGGAACATATGTGATTAAAATATCCGTTTACGTGTAAATTGCGTTCGGTTCAAATTTTTCTCCAGAGAACACATTAAAGATGTAAATAAATTTATATTTCCATTAGTGCTTTAATGATTGTGCACATAATTTATATTCAGCTTAAAAAAACAATTTAAAAGTAATCTTGTCTCTATCTCATGCGTAGAAAGAAATGTATAACTCTAAAGACCAGTGGTTCTGAAAAACATTTTGTTGTTAACAAAAATAAGAAACAGATTTATTATAATTATGTTCACAAATTATCTAAACTTAACGTATTTCACACATTCTATTTATATATTTGAAAAAAAGTTTTTTTTCAGTGTATTATATTTCTTATATGATGTGTTCCTTATATTCAAAATTACATTTTTTTAAACTCTTTAGAAATTATTTAATTTCTTTTTCTGTATTTTTCAAAAAATTATTCGTATAATAAATGCAATTTTGTCAAATATTTATTTTCTTTTGTTACATAAAAGTTAAGAGCTGAAAGTTGCAAATATATTTATCCTTTTCTGTCAAAACATATTTTTGTTACAGATCGAAATTCTATTTAAATTACAATAAGATGGCATTCCTACAATTTTTATTAAATGGCGCATTAGTGTTAATTGCTACAATAATTTTTTCTATTGCTGACAATTCGAAATATGACACTGCAGTTAATGATAATTTGCAGAATTATGTGGTACCATTGGATTATAATGTAGAAATACGATATTATTTGAAAAACAATATCTTACTCGGCTTATGCAGTATTATTGTAAAAATTAACCGTCCCTTGGAATCTATAATGCTGCACTCCGTGCCTCTTAAAGTAATTGATGCGGTCTTGATTGACGATAAAAATAATGTTACGTATAAAAAAATTCATACAATTTTCGAAAAAGACGTTCTTACTCTTATTTTCGATAGAGATTTATTACGTGCTACATATAAAATTTCAAACATAACTTTCAAAATGTATACCTTAAACATTACATATATGCGTAATATACAATATAATAGCAACACAAACAGTTTCATCAGACATACATATTTAAACGAATTAAACATAGGATATCAAAAGTAAGTTAAAATATTTAAAACATATCGTTGCATCGTAAATATTATTTGTCATCATTCCTTACAAACTATTATTATTATATTCACTGTTATCTTGGCACACCAGAAACTACATTATGCATACAAAAATAAAAGTTTAAAAATGATCACTAAAATATTATGCAAAACTACGCACAAGATTTATCGATTTCTTGACGTAAGAGTATACTTCAAATCATCACATCATACTTGATACAGAGAATCATAAAATCTCATTATAATTATTGAATTCTAATATTTTTGAATTAATTATAATTAATAATTTTTTCTTGTGTAAATTGTATCATTAAAATATTATAGGTTGATCGAAACAGGTGTTGAGATAATAAAAGGTCGACAACTCTTTCCGTGCAGAAACGAGCTAGCTATTAAATCCACATTTAAAATTGCTGTCAAACACCATGAAAAGTTTACAGTTTTATCAAATATGCCTATACGAGCAAAATATAAAAACGACAGCACTATGATATGGACTGACTTTCAAAAATCATTTTTAATGTCTGCCCAACACATAGCGGTTGTGATAACTACGTTTACTAATCGTACAATTGCTCAGAATACAAATGTTACCATATGGTGCAGACCAAGTGCTATGCAAAGTATTTTTACTGCAAGAATGATTATGGAAATCATTATGTACTATTTTAGACAAAACTACCCGATGGGATTATCAAAACTAGATATTGTTGTATCGTGGCATTCACAAGATGATAACGTTGCGACATATGGACTTCTTTTCCAAGGTAATATTTAAAAGATAAACATATTTTCACATGTCGATGTGTAAATTAAAAGACAATTGAAATTCATACAATGTTACTTGTATTACACAGTAAAAAAACTACTTTTGCTTTGATTTTAAATAAAAAATTAAAATAATTATTCTTTACGTCAAATCATATTTTAACTGAGATTTCACTCTTGAAAACGTGCAAAATAACTGTACATGTTTTACTTTGAACAAATAAAGCAATTGCTACAAATTGTTTATTGCATCAATAATATTGAGTTGACTCATTGAAAATCTTCGTTGAATATTAAGTATATTTAGTATATTTTCATTCGTGATAAATTTACTGTTGCCAAATTCCCTTTTATTTTTTTTATCTTTTGTAAATATATTCTGTATGCTACTTTGTAAGTGAACGTTTGCTACATACACTTCATTTCATAAACAAATTATAAAATATTGTCTATTAACAATAAATATAAATAACAACACATAATTTTATAAATAATATATTAATCTTTCTTGCAATTGGTAAAAACTTTCAACGTAAATATGTTGCTTGAAAATGTTTTCTAGAGAAGTGGATATTATTTTTAATGAGAATTTTGATTACCGTATTCGTAAAAGGGAAATTGCACACATGATGGCGCGTCAATTGGCCTTTCTTTGGTCTTGTGATATATTACTTTCGTCAAAAGAAGGTTTCGCTACATTTTTCGGAGCGTACATCTTGAATGAGGTTGTATTACACATTTTTGAAAATGATATATACATTTTTATATTTTATGACAAATAAGCAAAAACTTAAAGCAGCGATCGACAGCGCTAAATGCATGTTGCTGATGCAATAACTTTCGATTAAATGTTAATTAAATGTTAATTTCAATATATCAAATTTTTCAGATATTCAAAGATTCTTACATGATGGATTTAATGGTTATACAAGCACAACTAGATCCTTTCCATTACGACATTCCTTCTACCACAGAATTTCAAGCCAACTCATTAATGCTTCCATTAAACAATACTATGAAATGTAAGTTGTAGAATATATGACTAAACAATTATATATAATTATCACTTTAATTTGTAAAGTAAATATAACATAATGTGATAAGTGTACTTAAATTTCTAAATTAAAAAATTAAATTAAAAATATTTTTAAGGCCCAATAATTTAAACACCAAAAGGTTAATAAGAAGCAAAACAGCCATGCTGGATGGTCGCGTCTGCGTATTATACAAATTATATATGTATATGATAACAACGTTTTGGCCTATATCAGGTTTTCTTCAGGTTTAAACATCAAATTATCGTACATTATAAAATTAAGAAAAATGCTTCTATTTAAAATCAACGCTTAAATTTATCATCGCACGCAAAATCTTCTTATTCTTTCGCATAGTGATTCTACTGCTGATGTCCAAGACCAGATAGTAATAATTTAACATTCTTGTCGTAATAATTAAAACTAAAATATAAATAACAAGGAAAAATTGTTAATTAAAAAACTGCACTATCATATTAAAAATAAAAATAAGGACAACCAATAATATTCAGTTAAAAAAATACATACGTTAATATATTACGTAACGTAATATATACGTAAAGGATGTATCTATCATCTGAATATTATTGGTTGCCCTTATTTTTATTTTCAATATGATAGTGCAGTTTTGCAATTAACAATTTTTTTTTGTTATTTATATTTAAGTTTTAACTATTACGACTAAAAATATTAAATTATTGGTATCTGGTCATGGACATCATCAATAGAATCACTATGCGAAAGAATAAGAAGATTTTACGTGCGATGATAAATTTAAACGTTTTTAATTGGAAGCACTTTCCTTAATTTTATAATGTACGATAATTTGATGTTTAAACCTGAAGAAGACCTGATAAAGGTCGAAAAGTTGTTATGTGTATATGTCATGTATATGTTTGTATAATACAAGGCACGATCATCTAGTACTGGTTGTTTCGCTTCTTATTAACCTTTTGGTGTTTAAAAAAAATTTAATAAAAGTCTTTTTTTTTTTACGTTGAATTATAGTACAATTAAATAAATATAAATAAAAAAGTGTATTGCTAACAAATACAGAAATATTTAAGAAGAAAATTTTAAAAAATTTAACTAAACAAATACAACTATTAGTTAAATATATAAAATTAATAATAAAATTATAACAAATATTTGTTATTAAATAAAACACAATTTTAATTGTCACAGCATTCATAATGTGGCGTATGTTATACCATGTAATTCCTGATGTGTTTTGGACTGGTATCCGTCAATATATCGATAGACAGTGAGTAATAATACCGTAATATACTATAGCAATTACATAGGAAAATTGAACATAGCATAAATAACGTGTTTGCATTCTGTTATAACATACAGAGCAGTGACAAAAACTGTTTAAAAGCTGTAAAGCTACGTTGATCTATAAGTTTTCCAAAAATATATGTGATCTTTTGAAATTAAAATATGCTTTAATACAAACGATAATCAATTTCTAGTTTAAATAATAAAAATTCCACAGTTTTTAAAAATTTATATTTGCAATCATGAGTAAATCTAATCTTATTCGTTCTTTTATTAAAAATGTAAATATTCTATTTACATTAATAAAGTAAATAGAATATTTACATTAATAAATTTAAAGATCAAAAATTATAAAAACATAGGTTTGAAAATAAATAAATAGCATATTTCGTTTAATAATAATAGCCGTCGAGAGACAATTTGGTTATTGAAGAAATTTAATTCGATTTGAAGATTGCACTAGACAAAAAGGGATCATTTCTTAGTATGTGAAAAAAGATGTTTTTCATATAAATCGTATTATGCAAAATGTATAACTAATAATACTCATATAAATTAGAATTTAATAAATTAAATTGAGTAGTAATTTTTATAAAAGAAGTTATTCCAATGTTCACTTTTAAATCATTTTTAACTTTTAGTCGTAATTATTCAAGCACGACAACACCAGATGATTTATGGACCACTATACAAACTATTCACGAAGCTAAACTCCCAAGTCATGAACCCCACCTATTTTTAAAAAATATAATAAAAAGTTGGATAACGAAGAAGTATTACTCTGTTCTGTACATGACACAAAATTATAGAAATTCGACTGCGATGATAAATTACATTCTATCTCCTTATCTATTAGCTAAAGATAAGACAGAAAGCTGGATACCTGTAACGTATACGACGCAATTGTCTGTTAACTATTACAATAATGATAGTTTTTCTGGCTGACCTCGCATAATTTTAGTCGCGTAATTCCAGTGATTGACAGAAACGGTATTGTTTTACTCAATATAAAACAAATTGGTAAATATTGAACAATAAATATAAGTATGCTTTCTCTCTCTTTAATTGAAGTTTTTTTATAAAATTGCTTTACTTCTCGTTTATTCATAATCTTTCAGTTTAATTAAACACAATTATTGAAAATTGATGATTAAATATGTAGCTATAATAACATAAAAATTTTAAAAAACTTTGTGCCCAACTTAAATTTTGAAAGTTAATTACTAATTTCAAGAAAATTTGTATTAGATGTGTTTTACACAATTTCTTTGAAACAATTTTTCAAAAATGAATAATTTGATAAAATTTTCATATTAAAACAAATCTTATGTGTGTAAAAATATTATTTAATAAGTTCTTGGTTAATATACCGTAATAAAACAATTATTCTTTTGTATGATAGGATACTATCGCGTCAATTACGATTTTAAAAACTGGAAAAGACTTATGGACTACTTAAATTCTGAAAATTATACCAAAATACATGTTCTCAATCGCGCTCAAATCATAGATGACGCATTTTATTTCTTATTACAACGACAATTTGATTACGATGACTTCTGGCATCTTACGAGCTTTCTTCTTCGAGACATAAATTTTGTAACATGGTATCCTATGTTTAAAGTTTTCGAATCCTTGTCATGCATGGTTCCATTTCATTATAATGACGACGCAAAAGTAATAATAGATTTCTATGAAAAAGAGTTACAGTTTTACATACTGTATAATAAAAAAACCAACAATTTTTAATTTAAATTTAACGATTTTTAGGAAAAAATAAGAAGCATGATAGATCAACTTCTTACAACAATAGGATACAATTACACTGAAATATATGCATTTGATCTTAATATATCTTTAAGAGAAGAAGCTGTAAAATGGGCATGTACTCTAGGTGTACCTGCGTGCCGTAGTAAAGCTGCTTCTGAGTTAAATAATGAGCTTGAAAATTTTGTAAAAAACAAGTAAACCGCTTCACAATCGCAATCTTTATATAATTAAAATTTTGTTGAATTTTTTAATTATGCTGGATAAATTATTTTATCATTAGCTTATCACAATATAAGTTAATTTGTGAAATAATATAATAATATAATGTAGTAAAAATATTCTTTTTTGTAATGCAGTAATACCATAGGGAAGAAATGGATATTTTGTTATGGTTCGATAGCAGCAAACAACACAATTTGGTTCAAGATGTTATCCAAATTCAATGAAATAAATGATGACAGATTTTTGGAATATTTAACGTGCTTTGAAAATGTTGCTATTATTTCTAATTATTTAAAACAAATAATACTTGGAGATATTCAGTTACCAAGAAATACGCGTGCTAGCGTATTTCTTAGCATTGTTGAGAAACATGCAAAAAAAAATGCAGTGCTTTCTATTATTTTGAAGAATCTTAGAAACGTCACACTCACTTCAAACTGGTAATAATATTGTTTTTTAAATATATTTCTATATTTTTATCTCTTAATTTTTAACATATATAATAATAATTAGTTATTAATATATGTTATATATACTAAATTTAAAAAATTTTACATTGTTTTTGTAGGAAAAATGACGAATTTGCAACATTAATTGTAATTATTACGCATGTGTATTCCACAAATCACATGGATATGGTATATTTTTTTAACTTTACACTCATATCTCATTTTTTGTTTTCGAAATATGGAACTAATTTATATCTACATATATTTGTGTTACATATATGATATATTTGATGAGAATTACACTATGTACTGTAAATTATGTTCTGCCAAATTGCAGTGCGAGAAATTTGCATTTGTAGATATCATTGAAATAATTTGTTCTAGATAACTAATTACATAATGCAGTACAGTCCAATGCCAGCACGTCGAGCTATTGAAATGAAATTAAACAAACGAAGATCGGAATACAGAAAACTATACGGAAACTATGGACGCTTTGGTTATTAAATCCATCGTTTTTAATTTCTTAATATTATTATTATCTGTAATGCTATAAATTTTGAATAATGCAGATATTTACATTTTCTTTGATGTGTAATAAAGACAATAATGTTAATAACTGATACGATTATGAATAAAAATAAACACACAAAGGCGTGCGTGAACATCTAACAATAATAATTTATGGTTAAAAAAAATTAACGCTTTTACGCAGTCAGTCAAACAATTTAATAATTTATGGTTCGTTCTTTTGATAGAATTGGATTTTGTAATTCGTATTGTTTGTATCATATTGTAAAAATTAACGCTTTTACGCAGTCAGTCAATATTGAAATTGATTGAACTAAATATTTTATTTCCTAAAAAATTAATTTTATTGTACAAGAAAATTTTTATTTTTATTTCAAAATATTATGTATATACATATTATATCACAACTGCGTTGCAATTTAATTTTTATACTTTAAATATGTAGATTTATCTTATTACATATCATGATTTCCGTTTTCGTTTATCGATAGTATTTCATATTGATTTTGAGTAACCTTTTAAAAGCTGTTTACATGGCATAACATATATATTATATCGCTGACTAATATCTTTCTCAGTGTTTGACATGTTCGACTTTTCGATACGTGTAATATCATGAATAGATTTACATATCTTTGACATTCATTTCAATTCAAGTTAGACGTAGTTAGACGTTAGACGCGAAGTTAGACGTATTATTCTTCCAAAATTGTTCAGCGTTATAAATTCTTGTATTTTAATTAATACACGATTTCAATATATAGGTAAGTAACTCAGTCCATAGTGAGTAACTTAGAAAAACTATATATTTCTCTTTGATAATATAGAAAAATGTACGTATAAATGACATGTACAACTTCATTTTCTCGAAATCATATATTTCAGAATTACCGACATGTTTCTCTTAATATTTGTTCTTTTTCTTTTTACGCTGCATAATCAGATATGCAGCGATTAATGATTTACTGTAATCGTCTAAAAACTGCTTCAATAGTTATCATAAATTGAATAGAATGTATAAGTCCAATACGCGTAAGATTAATAGTATTATCTTTCAATTCCAAACAATTTCAAATAATATTTAGTGTAAGCACATACTCGAAAAAAAAAAACTACAAAATAATTTCAAATCCATTAGTTTTTCTTGCAAAAAAAGAATATACATGCTGGAACATATGTGATTAAAATATCCGTTTATGTGTAAATTGCGTTCGGTTCAAATTTTTCTCCAGAGAACACATTAAAGATATAAATAAATCTATACTTCCATTAGTTAGTGGATTATTGATTGTACACATTATTTATGTCCAGCTTCAAAAAACAATTTAAAAGTAATGTTGTTTCCGTGTCATCCGTAGAAGGAAATATATAACTCTAAAAACGAGTGGTAGCAGAAAAATATTTTGTCATTAATAGAAATGAGAAATAGATTTATTTTAATTATGTTCACATATTATAAAAATTTAACGTATTTTACACATTTTATTTGTATATTTAAGAAAAAGTTTTCAGTATATTATATTTTCATGATACTATAATTATATGATTATACAATATTTTCACTATGTGTTCTTTTATATTAAAAATTATATTTTTTAGAAAACTTCAAAATTTTATTTTTGTTTCTTTTTCGACTTTATTTCTTTCTCTGCATTTTTCACAAAAATTTATTCGTATAAATAAATGCAATGTTTTCAATATTTATTTCTTTTTGTCACATAAAAGTTAAGAGCTAAGTGTTGCGAATATATTTACTCTTCCTTCACATAAAATATTTTTGTTACAGGTCAAAATTCTATTTAAATTACAATAAGATGGCATTCCAAAAATTTTTGTTAAATGGCGCATTAGTGTTAATTGTTACAATAACTTTTCCTACTGCTGACAATACGAAATATGTCACTGCAGTTAATGATAATATGCAGGATTATGTGATACCATTGGATTATAATGTAGAAATACAATATTTGTTGGAAGACAATATCTTACTCGGTTTATGCAGTATTATAATAAACATTAGCAGTCCCACGCAATCTATGATGCTGCACTCCGTGCCTATTATAGTAATTGACGCGCTCTTAATTGACGCTAACAATGAATATACGTATAAACTAAAGGACCACGAAAATATCAAGGGTAAAAACATTGTTGCTCTTAATTTCTATCAACATTTATATCGTGCTACGCATAACGCACTTTATGCTCCTGCTAACTATACTTTAAACATGACATATATGCGTAATATACATGAAAACAAAGATAGTTTCTTCAGATATGCATATTTAACGGAAGAAGTAGAAAATCAAAAGTAAGTTAAAATATTTGAAACATATCGTTGTATAAATATGTTATTATTCTTTACAAAGTATTAACGTTATTTTCACCGTTATCTTGAAAATACCGTTCGTCCAGAAAATACATGCATAAAAAAATAAAATTTTAAAAATAATCACTGAAATATTATGCAAAACTACGCACAAAATTTATCGATTTCTATAGATGTTAAAGTATAATCCTTAAACCATCATACTTAAGACAGAGAATCATAAAATCTCATTATAATTTTATAATTGTAATATTTTTCACTTAATTATAATTAATAATTTTTTCTTATGTAAATTGTGTCACCAAAATATTGTAGGTTAATTGAAACAGATGTTGTGATATTGAAGGCCCGACAACTCTTTCCGTGCAGAAACGACCTAGCTATCAAATCCACATTTAAAATTGCTGTCCAACACCATAAAAAGTTTACAGTTTTATCAAATATGCCTATACAAGCAAAATATAAAGATGACAGCACTATGATATGGACTGACTTTGAAAAATCATTTTTAATGTCTGCCCAACACATAGCGGTTGTGATAACTACGTTTACTAATCGTACAATTGCTCAGAATACAAATGTTACCATATGGTGCAGACCAAGGGCTTGGCAACGTGTTGATTACGCAAAAAAGATTATGGAACAGATTGTGTCCTATTTTATACTAAAATACCCAATGGGATTATCAAAATTGGATGTTGTTGTATTGTGGCATTCACAAGATGATAACGTTGCGACATATGGACTTCTTTTCCCAAAAAGTAATATTTAAAAGATAAACATATTTTTATATGTTGATGTGTAAATTAAAAGACAATCAAAATTCATACAATGTTACTTGTACTACACAGTAAAAAATTACTTTTGCTTTCATTTCAAATGGAAAATTAAAATAATTATTCTTTACGTCAAATCATATTTTAATTGAGATTTTACTCTTGAAAACATGCAAAATAACTGTATACGTTTCACTGTGCACAAATCAAGCGATTGCTACAAATCTTTTATTGCATCAATAATATTGAGTTGACTCATCGAAAGTCTTTTTTAAATATTAAGTTTATTTTTATTCATGACATTACTATTGCCGAAATGTGTCAAATTCTTTTTTATTTTTTTTGTGAATATTCTTAATATTTTCTGTATACAGTTATGTAAGTAAACATTTATTACATACACTTTATTTCATAGACAAATGATAAAGTATTGGCAATTAACAAGAAGTATAAATAACAACACACAATTTTATAAATAATATATGAATCTTTCGTGCAATTGGTAAAAACTTTCAATGTAAGTATGTTGCTTGAAAATGTTTTTTAGAGAAGTGGATATTATTGATGAGACACTTGATCATCTATTTCGTAGAAGGGAAATTGTACACATGATAGCGCGACAATTGGCATTTCTTTGGTCTTATGATGTATTACTTTGGTCAAAAGAAGGTTTTGCTTCATTTTTCGGAGCGTACATCTTGAATGAGGTTGTATTACACATCTTTGAAAATAATATATACATTTTTATTTTATAACAAACAAGCAAAAGCTTAAAGCAGCGATCGACAGCGCTAAATGCATGTTGCTGATGCAATGACTTTTCAATTAAATGTTAATTTTAACATATCAAATTTTCCAGATATTCAAAGATTATTACATGATGGATTTAATGGTCATACAAACACAACTAGATTCTTTTCATTACGATACTCCTTCTACCACAGTTTCTGAAGCTAACTCATTAGTGCTTCCATTAAACAATATGAAATGTAAGTTGTAAAATATATGACAAAACAACTATATATGATTACCACTTTATTTTGTAAAGTAAATATAACATAATGTAATAAGTGTACTTATATTTATAAATTTAAAAAAATCTAATAAAATTTTTTTTAGTTGTATTACAGTATGATTAATCAAATATAAATTAAATTTTTTATATAATTTAAATAAGTATAAATAAAAAAATGTTTTGCTATTAAATTCAAAAATATTTAAGAAAAAAATTTAAGAAAATATAACTATAAACAAATTTAATTTTCATTTATATGTATATAAAAATAATAATAAAAGTATAACAAGTTTTTATTAAATAATACAAACATTTAATTTGTCATAGCATTCATAATATGGCGAATGTTATACCATCTAATTCCAGATGTGTTTTGGAGTGGTATCCATCAATATATCGATAAACAGTGAGTAATAATGCCCTCACAGAGAAAATTTTATATCAAAAATTACTATGTACGGCATTAACCACGGACTACGAACGCTGGGGACCGAAAATTTTCACTATGTTTCACATGTGAAAAACATAGTAAAAATTTTTATAATTCTTTCATGGTCCACGGCTACTATCGTACATAGTAATTTTTGATATAAAATTTTCTCCGTGCTAATATATAGGTACTATAGCAATTACATAGAAAAATTAAACATTGCATAAATAACGTGTTTGCATTCTGCTATAACATACAGAGCAAAGACAAAAACTGTTTCAATGCTGTAGAGTTTCGTTGATCTAAAAGTTTTCCAAAAATTTATGTGATCTTTTGAAATTAAAATATACTTTAATATAAACGGTATAATCAAGTCAAATAATAAAACTTCAACAATTTTTAAAAACTGATATTTGCAATCATGAGTAAATCTAATCTTATTCGTTCTTTTATTAAAAATGTAAATATTCTATTTACATTAATAAATTTAAAGATTAAATATAAAGACATAGGTCTAAAAATAAACACTTAACATGTTTTGTTTAATAATAATTTCCGTCGAGAGACCATTTTATTAAAGCAATTTAATTCGACTTAAAGATTGCACTAAACAAAAAGGGATCATTTCGTAGTCTGTGAAAAGAGACACCTTTCATATATACTCGTATTATGTCAAACGTATAACTAATAATGTTCACATAAATTAATATTTAATAAATTAAATTAAGTAGTCATATTAATTTTTTTTATAATTTTTTATAAAAGAAGTTTACTTTTAAATCATTTTTAACTTTTTAATTGTAATTATTCAAGCACCACAACACCAGATGATTTATGGACCACTATGGAAACTATTCACAAAGCTAAACTCCCAAGTCATGAACCCCACCTATTTTTAAAAAATATAATAAAAAGTTGGATAACGAAGAAGTATTATTCTGTTCTGAACATGACACGAAATGATGAAAATTCGAGTATAGCGATAGATTTCATTCTATCTCGCTATCTAAAAGCTAATGAGAAAACAAAAAACTGGATACCTGTAACATATACGACGCAATTGTCTGTTAACTATGACATTAGTGATAGATTGTTCTGGCTGACCTCGCATAGTTTGAGGCGCGTAATTCCAGTGATTGACAAAAACGATTTTGTTTTACTCAATATAAAACAAACTGGTAAATATTGAATAATAAATATAAGTATGCTTTCTCTTTCTTTACGTAATTAAAGTTTTATTAAAAATTTGCTTTACTTCTCGTCTATTGATAATCTTTCAGTTTAATTGACACAATTATTGAAAACTGGTGGTTAAATATGTAGCTATCATTACATACAAATTTTTGAAAACTTTGTGCCCAACTTAATTTTCAAAGTTAATTACTAATTTAAAGAAAATTTGTATTAGACGTGTTTTATACAATTTTTTTAAAACAATTTGTTAACAAATAAGTAATTAGAAAAGATATTTAGATAAAAACGCGATTTTGTGTGTGTAACTTTTTAATAAATTCTTCGTTAATATACCGTCATGATTAAAACAATTATTCTTTTGTATAATAGGATACTATCGTGTCAATTACGATGAGAGAACCTGGTACAATCTTATCCACTTCTTAAATTCTGAAAACTATACGAAAATACATGTTCTCAACCGCGCTCAATTAATCGATGATGCGTTTTATCTCTTGTTACAAAAACAATTCAATTACAAAACGTTTTGGGAATTTACGAAATCCGTGTTACGTGATATGAATTTCGTAACATGGTATCCTATGTTTAAAGTTTTCGAATCCATATCGTGTAGATTTCCACTTGATTATGGTATGGACGCAAAGGTAGGTAATGATAGATTTCTATAAAAAAGAGTTTCTTATTAGATACTGCACATTAAAAAAAAACAATCAGCAGTGTTTAATTGAAATTAACCAATTTTTAGTTACAAATGAGAACCATGATGTTGCCACTTCTTGAAAAAATAGGATACTTACACAATCAGAGTGACAATCTACTTATTGATACTGTATATTTAAGAGAAGAAGCTGTGAAATGGGCATGTATGCTTAACGTTATTGACTGCCGAAAAGAAGCTGCTAAGATTCTAAGTCGAGACCTTGACAATGATAAACATAGCGGGTAAGCCGCTTTATAACCAAAATATTCATATAATCAAAATGTTGATGCATTTTTGCATTATACTGGATAAATATTTTTATTATTAACTTTTCACAATATTAGTTAATTTGTAGTAAAAAATATTTTTTTTTTGTAATGTAGTATTTTGAGAACGGGAGAAAAATGGATATACTGTTATGGTTTCGATGAGCTTACAAACCTTAAATAACAAATCTCAAGATTTAATAATAATAGACAAGCATTATGCATCAATGCTGTTGAGATTCCAAGCAACGAATGATAATAGATATTTGGAATACCTAACTTGCACTAAAAGTGATTATGTTATTTTGCTGTATTTGTCGCTACTAGCACACGAAGATGCTTCCAAAGAAAATCAGTTACAAGGAAATGTACGTGCTAGCGCATTTCTTAGTGTTATTGAGAAACATGCAGAAAAATGATAAAAGTGCTTTCTTTTCTTTTTGAAAATTTTGCAAATATAACATTCAGTTCAAATAGGTAATAATATATTTTTAATATATCTCTGTACTTACATCTCTTAATCTTTAATATATATTATAATAATTAATTATTTTAACATATCTTATATTTATTTAATAAATTTATTGGTTTTTACTTTGTTTTGTAGAAAAAATGACATAATTGCAATATTAATCGTAGCTATTACAAATATGAGTAACAAAGTCCTCATAACAAAGGTATATATTTTGAACTTTACACTAATACGGGAAGTTGGGGTAAAACGGACTACACCTAAAAAAATGGCCATATTTTTTATGTTAATGATTTATTTATTATATTATATATATTATATTATATTTATTATATTATTTATTATATTATGTTTATATTAATAATTTATTTATTATATAAATTTACAATTGTTATTAAGATTTTTATAAGACTAATTTTAGTCCGTCTTATCCCACGTGCGGAAAAATGAACAATCTCGTGAAAAAAAAACAAGAAACTGTTAATAAAAAAAAAGAGATGTTTTAATTTTGCTTTATAAAGGTAAAAAATAAGTAGATTGGTATAATAGGATGGGATCGTCTCTTTGATTTTGATAGTTGTATATCATCAAAAATTATTTCCTCAGAACAAAAAAGTAAATCTTTAGACAATATATTGAACATGTAATCTATAAAATATATGTCTACTCAAAGCAAATATAACCAGAAAAATATTATTTACTAATACTAATATTTAAACTTGTCTATTTTACCCCACAAGACAACATCAATATTAACTTATTTTTATTTATTTGTATTAAAATTATTTTTAAAATGTAGTTAATAAAATATTATTTTTAAATAACCAGAAAAAAGGGACTTGATAAAAAATTTTTAAATATTAAATTTTACAATAATAGCACTCAAAATGCAATGTTAAGAAATTAAATCACGAGATCTATTTGCAAAAATTTGACGTTTCTTTGCAAATAACTCACGATAGTTTTATGGTATAATAATGAAACTTTTTAACAGTTAAAAATATTCAAAAAATGCTTATTTTGTGTTCATCCAGCAGTTAGAGGCCCTCATTAACAAAATCTGGGACCATTTTACCCCCAGACAGCACAACATATCCAAAAGACGTCCAAAAGATATCCCGAAGACGTTTTTGGGACGACAGGACGTCCTCTGGATATCCTTTGGATGTATTTTGGACATGTGTGCTGTCTGGGCCCTGTGATCCATTTTATCCCACCTTCAGCTAGAGTCATTTATCGTCTTCTAAATATGAAACATATTTATATCTATATATTTTATATTATATTTTTTTACATACTTAATATGGAATATATTATGTATTGTAAATTACGTTCTGCCAAACTGCAATGTAAAAAATTTTATATTTATAGATATAATTGGAATAATTTGTTTCAGTTAACTGATTACGTAACGCATCATTATGCAAAACAAATAGTTGAAGTTGTTAAAAGAAAAATAAAGAAACGAGATTGGGAATACCGTAGACTATGCCAAAACTTCAACAGCATACTAACATAAGTGAAAATGAAAGTGAATTATTTGAAGCAATACAAGACGACAAATTCACTTGTTGCTCACATATAATCATATATCGATAACTTTTATAATTTCTTTTTTAACAAATAATATTTGTATATTTGAAATTAATTAGTTTTTATTCTTAATTAGTTTTAACATCTTAATTATTATTAATATTTCTAATACTATAAATTTTGAAAAACGCAGATATTTGCATTCTTTGATGTGTAATAAAGACAATAATGTTAATAACCGATACGATTATGAATTAAAATAAAAACACAAAGGCGTGCGCAAACAATAATTTAACAATTTAATAACTTATGGCCCGTTCTCTTGATAGAATTTTGTTATTAAATGTATATTATTTGTATCATATTGTAAAGAAATAACGCTTTTACGCAGTCAGTCAATATAGAAGTTGAATGAATTAAATATTTTATTTTATAAATGATTAATTTTATTGCACACAGAAAATATTAATTTTTATTTTAAAATATTATATATACAATATTATAACTGCGTCGAAATTTAATTTTTGTATTTTAATGTACTTAAGGTAGTGTAGATTTATTTCATTATATATCATGATTTTTGTTCTCGTCTATCTATTAGTACCCAGACAACACGCATGCTTAGGGTGCGTTCGGGGAGACGCTATTAGCGCTATTTAGCGCTATCGACTGTTCACGGAGCTAGCTAGTAGTGCTACCAAACGCAATTATGACGTCATTAATGGTAGTGTGATACGTCATAACTGCGCGCTATCAACGCTATTCTTTCCTCATAATTTCAGCAAAATCGGTTGAGAATTGGAGAAGAAAAACGGGAAATAAATTTCGCCGAAAACGCCGAAAAAAATAGCACTTTATACACTCTTTAACAGTAATGATCACGAACATATTTATATTATGACTCTTTTTATGAAAATCAGAATGTATTTTGAATATAAATCAAGTGTTAATAAATTTTTTTTAATTCAAATATTAAAAATTTGTCGCCCTCTAAAATCTGCCGCCCTAGGCTATAGCCTATCCAGTCTAATGGGAAATCCGCCCTGCATGTTGAAGCATTGCGACGCGAACAAACCTTGTATGTACCTGCTACTCCGTCAAACAACAGTCAAAAGTTTCGAACTTGACTGTACGTAAAAGGACAGCAAGACACGACATGTGGTTCTCTCTCGGCGACAAGCGATTCAGTACCCATTTTAGTATATATATAGTTCAGTGACTACGACTCGAGTGTATAAACGTTTTGGGCTGCGTTCCGTAAAGTGCATATGTGCGCATGTACTTATAGGCTGCGTTCCGAAAATCACTGCCAGTACTGAAAATCTACAATATACGTTACGTAAACTGTAAATTTTCAGTACTGGCAGTGAATTTTGGAACACAGCCATATGGCCGG